GAGAGAGAGAGAGAGAGAGAGAGAGAGAGAGAGAGAGAGAGAGAGAGAGAGAGAGACATGGAAGAAAAATGGGATGCCATCAGCGAGTGTTGCTCCACGCCGTGGCGGGGTCCACTTGTATATATATATAGTCAAACAAAGCTGCCCGGTAAATCGTAGGCAGAGAGGGAGAAGAGGACAACAAACGAAGGGCTGTGACAAACTGTTTCGTCGGAGTTTCACCGACTGACTCAGCAGGAGGCTGAACCCTCAACAGTCTGCAGAATTCCCTTAACTGATTACACTGTAAGTGATAATCCACCTTAACCCCGGTTGTGGTTAAGCATCGACTGCCCGACAACTATATATTGTGACGATATATATGTATATTATATTTGGCCCGGGCAGGCAAGTGGTCCTGGGCCACTCTGGTAACCTAGCATCCCAGACTATTTTTGGCATCGGTACTAAGCCTGTCTCTTATACACATCTAGATGTGTATAAGAGACAGGAGGGGGGGTGAGGAGGGGTAAGCAAGTGCCTGCCCCCTTTTATTTCTTGCTGTCAGATCGATTGGTTACCTACCCAGTCGATCAACGACGGCAGAGAATGAACTGATCGCTTGGAATTGAAACACGATGATCGAAAAGTCAGAGAGGACGTGATTGAAAGCAGAGAATGATTGGCTGATAACTCCAAACTCTATCTTTCCGGAGAAGTAAAGCGGCGCCACAACAGCCGCCGGCAGAAGCTGGATCAGATACTTGTACCCGCTGGTGAAGAAGTCCAAATTCCTCGACGAGATCAGCAGTTCCTGCAACGCATGCATAAAACAAAAAAAAAAGGTGACGATAAAATACAAAATATTACAACCCTATGAGGCTATGAGATGGGAGATCGGATTTTTTTTTTTTTTTTTTGACGATTTCTGGATTGATGTGGTCATGCCTTGCACAGGGGCCATGCTAATCTACTTTCTCTGTATCGTTCCATTTTTTTAACGGATGTCCCGAATACGCTGATCTGTCCCGAATTGAATTCATGACATTTATTTATTACTCTTTATTGAGACTTGAAAAAAAAAAAAAAAAAAAAAAAAAAAAAAAAAAGCCGCAAAGAAAAAAGATGGCAAATTTTGAATTTTGAAAGTTCTCATAAAGGATGTACTCAGGCGGCCCTTCAGAGAATAGCAGCAAGAAAAACCAATCACAGCAAGGTACTACTATCTAGCATGCCTAATGGGACTCCCCTCCCCATCTGCCCTTTCGCCCATCGTCCATCCACGTCAGCAATCAATGTGGAGGATGGAGCAGCACTTCCTCACCTTCGTGGAGACAGCAGCAGATCGCGCATATCGTCGCCATGTAAGTCCAGGTACGCTTGCCCACATCCCACGTCAGTCTCACAGCCCTGATCCTCCTCCTCCTCCTCCTCCTCCTCCTCCTCCTCCTCCTCCTCGCCAATAATCGCGACTACATCTACATCGATGCGGCTATGGCAGCGCCAGCATAATCTCCTCCCTCGAGGCTGGCGCCCCCTCCCAACATCTGGCGCCCGCATACAGCTCCAGCAGCCTCGCGTCTCTACACTACATTCTTCACCCGAATACCAACGTACAGTCATTATTGTGTATTTAGACGTAAAGATACCCCTAAAAGGGCTTTTACCCGAGTCAGACCCCATAAAAGTAAAGCAGCGTGAAGGGGTATCTCGCCAGGATCCAGAAACGTGAAAAGCAGATCAACAGTCAAAGTTTTCTGACTAAGGACATCTGAATTTAAGCTAAGAAACACATCTGTTAAAGATCAAAAGTCACATCTCAAAAAGAAAGAAAAGTCTTATGGAAAGGCATGCTGGAAACTGTCTGAAGGGGTGTGTCAAAGGGCTGTGCAGATAGTGCCTGTTCGTGCAATATAAAGTGTCTATTCGAATAGGTTGTGTGTCTGTTCGTCAATTTGTTGTRTCTGTTCGAAGGTCAAGATAACTGTAAAGTCCCAATACTGAATTAAGTTYTGTAGGCAGTCCAGATCCAGTCCTACTGTCCGAAATACAGGCCGAATGCCAAAAAGCAGCAGTACCTTTMTGGGATATCACTGGGACACATGCAATGCAGGGCCTGGGACRGGGCCRAAGTSCCAATTCAGATGCTGAACGTGGAATCCAGCACTATAAAGGAGGCTGCTCGCCTCATTTGTGGCAGATTCCTCACTGGCATGGAAGTGCTGGCCACTTGTGTGCTATTTGGTGGGAGGAGGAGGATGCGCTGGAGCTGGAAGTGGTGCTGAAGGCAGAGGCTGGGCGCTGGTGCAGGATGATGCAGCCTTAGCTGCCTGGCCAGGATGCTAGTAGTAGGAGCAGCCA